CCCCAGGTCCCCATCCCTATACCCAGCTCCCCAGGTCCCCATCCCTATACCCAGCTCCCCAGGTCCCCATCCCTATACCCAGCTCCCCAGGCCCTTATCCCAATACCCGGCACCCCAGGTCCCCATCCCTATACCCAGCTCCCCAGGTCCCCNGGCTTGGAGACGAAGACATGTACTACATGCACGTGAGTGTCCCCTGCCGCAGAGCCCGGGCCGGGGCAGCCGGGGGCCACCAGGGGCCACCCAGGGCAGGCAGGAGCAGCCTGAGACCTCGGAGCCCGGCTCTGCAGGTGGCAGGTCCATGAGGGGAGCGCTGAGCCCCAGGGAGCCAGCCCGGAGGGGCCAGCCCTCGGGAGGTCAGAGCCGCCAGGTCAGGGTGTGTGTGCTGCGGGTCCCGGGCCAGCGCAGCGTGTGGGACGGTGCAGACCGCGGGGCCGGCGTCAGGGATCCCGCAGCCTAGGGTCCCGCAGGCTGCATCACTGTCGGCCACGTGATGTGGCCGCTCCAGTTGGTGGATCCAGTCACCGCGTGGCTAGGACTGGTCGCCCATTAGGGGAGCTTTTCATTTCTGAGTCACGAATAAGCCTCTTGCGCTAAAATCCCATTTGTTGAGTTCTCTGCCCGTGAACCCCGAGTGTGCTGAGCGCCGGGGAGGGGAGGGGAAGGTGGGGTGAAGGCTCACGGGCAGGAAGCGGTGGACACCTGCCCACCCATTCCTGGTCCCCTGAGGCTCCCCCGGGGGTCTGGGGCCCAGCGGAGCCCCACGTGCCCCCAGGCAGAGGTCCGCCTCCCTCGCTCAGGTGCGGGGCCGGGAGAACTTCGAGATCCTGATGAAGGTCAAGGAGAGCCTGGAGCTGATGGAGCTGGTGCCCCCGCAGGTGGTGGACTCCTACCGGCAGCAGCAGCAGCAGCTCCTACAGAGGCCGTGAGTGCCGCCCCCTCCCACGCATCCCTCCAGAGAGGCCCCGCCTGGTGTCCCCTCCTCCAGGAAGCCTTCCTTAACTACCGTGGTCATGACCATCACTGTGATTTCCTCTCCCACCAAGCGGTCTCCCTCAATGTCTACTGAGCGGAGGGTGAGGAGGGGGTGGTTGGAGCAACACAAACCCACCAATACCGAGGGCGATTCCAGTGGCAGGAGCCACCCCACCTCCCTCACCCGTCGCCAGGCCCTGTGAGAGCCGGCCGGTGCCGGCCACATCCAGGGCAGGCTGGGCGAGGCGGGAAGGGCTCTCCGACACCCCAGCTTGGGGCCAGGGTCCCGAGCCCCTTGTGGCAGGGGCCCCATGTGGAGGCGAGCGACGGGCAAGGAGCTGCCTTTGCTCTTACCAACACGGTTTCACTTTCTAAGCAGGAGCCACCTGCAGCCCCCGTCCTACGGGCCGGTCCTCTCGCCCATGAACAAAGTGCATGGGGGTGTCAACAAGCTGCCCTCGGTCAACCAGCTGGTGGGCCAGCCACCCCCGCACAGCTCGGCGACCGGGCCCAACCTGGGGCCCATGGGTGAGTCGCTTGGGTGGTGGGGACCCAGGGTGGGTCGGGGAGGCCCAAAGGGTAGGCCTGGCTCCGGACACTCCTTCCAAGCTCAGGACCTGCACGCGGGGCTCTCCACGGCTGCTGCCCTCCAGCAGCTCTGGCCCGCGGCAGGAGGCACGGCCGCCAGTGGGCCCTCCGCCCATCCCTGCTCCTGGGGGGCTCTGACAGTCCCACCTGTCTCTTACCAGGCCCCGGGCTACTCAACAACCACGGCCACACCCTGCCGGCCAACGGTGAGATGAACGGCAGCCACAGCTCCCAGTCCATGGTCTCGGGGTCCCACTGCACCCCACCTCCCCCCTACCACGCCGACCCCAGCCTGGTCAGGTACGTGGGCCGCTGCCGGGCCCTGCCACTAACCCACTAACCTCGTTCCCTTCGTGGCTCCCGGTCTGCTGGCCCGAACCCGGGGACCGTCTCTGGATGGTGCCCGCCTGCCCATGTGTCTGTCACTCTGCCATGTGGCGAGCTGACCGGGGCAGAGAAGATGCTGGCAGGTGGGGGAAGCATAAAAGGCTAGGGTGTGTCCAGGCCATGGCCACGTGGGCAGGGGGGCCAGTGGGGTGGCCAGGAGTCGCCAACAGGAGGCAGAACCCGCCCTGCCAGGCCACGCGGCCGATCCTTAGAAGCGGATGTGGTTTGATTTTGCGGATTCTCTCTGCAGTTTTTTAACAGGACTGGGGTGTCCCAACTGCATCGAGCACTTCACCTCGCAAGGCTTACAGAGCGTTTACCACCTGCAGAACCTGACCTTGGAGGTAACTGCCCCGCCCCTCCCGATGCACCCGGCCTGCAGGGCCCCGTGGGCAGAGAGCGCTCACCTCTTTCTGGGGTGGCGCTCCGGCCGGTTCCTGCTCTCGAAGTTTGGGGAAGGGGCTGTGAAATTTGGGAAACCCTTTTTCCCAGGCCCACGCGTGAGCGCAAGCAAGTCTGGCTGTGCAGGCTGTGGGCTGGGGTGATGCGCCCGGCTGCAGGCAGCTGAACCGGCCCTGTGCTCTCTGGTCCCCAGCGGCCAGGCAGCCTTTGATTTGGGGAAACAGGCTGTTTCTAAGGCTCAGAGTTTGGGGAGGCAAAGGTCAGAGGGCCCAGGAGCCGGTCTACTTCAGCACCACTCACATGGGGCGGGGGGGACCCAGGCCCCAAAGGCTGTGAGCATCCTGAGTGTCCGCACAGACCGGGGTCGAACAGGAAGCCCAGACAACAAGTTCCCCTAAACCGTGAAGCACTGAACCTGCTCTGGGGTGCCCTGGGCTGTAACGCACTGTTGGCCAAAGGAGGAACAGGCTGAGGGCCCAGGAGACACAGCCGTGGCCGGGATCCCAGGGGGCCTTCTGCTCAGTGGCCCGGAGCCCTCTGCAGTCCTTGCTCCCAGCCCAGAGCCACAGGCCAGACACGGGGGGTGGGGGGGGTTGTCAGAAGGAACTGAGGCCATTCGCTCCGAGGATGGCCACGTCAGCATGTGTGTGGCCACTGCGGTCCCTGGTGACCCACGGCTGGGCTGGCTCAGCGCTAACCCTCACCCTGCGAGCATGATGTGTGGGTGCTTGGCGTGTGTGAGGGGCGGGGATGGGTGATGGGACCTGGTGATCAGCTCTGGTCCCAGGGGCTGGGAGGCAGGGGGTCCTCCAGGGCCTGGTGCAGAGGGGCTCCATCGGTCACTCTGATTTTGGAAGGGGGCCCAGGCCCCACACAGCTCAGGAGTGACCACACACACACACACATGCCGTAGCACACACCTCGCTTTTTAGCTCTCCTGACACTTCTGTCACAGTTCCAAAAACGAGCGTGTCCAGACTCCCCTCCTTGTAGGCCCCTCCCAGCTGCTCACGGTCCAGGACGGACTGTGGTCCTACAGGTTGGGGGGTCCCTGGCCCCCCTCCTGGTCCCGTGGGCTCGGCAGGAGCAGGGTGGTCCCCAGGAGGAGGTCCGTGCTGGGAGGGCTGGGCCGGGCCTGCGGCTCCATCGCTCACGGGGACGGGGCCCCTGCCGCTCTGCAGGACCTCGGGGCGCTGAAGATCCCCGACCAGTACCGGATGACCATCTGGCGAGGCCTGCAGGACCTGAAGCAGAGCCACGACTGCGGGGCGCAGCAGCTGATCCGCTCCAGCAGCAACGCGGCCACCATCGCCATCGGCGGCTCGGGCGAGCTTCAGCGGCAGCGCGTCATGGAGGCCGTGCACTTCCGCGTGCGCCACACCATCACCATCCCCAACCGCGGCCCGGGCGCGGGCCAGGACGAGTGGGCGGACTTCGGCTTCGACCTCCCGGACTGCAAGGCCCGGAGGCAGTCCATCAAGGAGGAGTTCACGGAGGGGGAGGCCAACTGACGGCGCCGGAGCGCGGGCTGGGCGCGGACGGAGCCTCGGCGCCCCGCGCCACCAGGNCACCTGCGGACCGGAGGCTGGGCGCCTGCAGACCGGAGCTGTGAGAAGCCCGGCGTATCTCCTCCTTTTGATTAAAAAACTGCCCTGGGAGGCAGGACCTGGGGCTGTGCCCGGGAGAAGGCCAGGTCCAGCCCTCAGGGCCCAGGAAAGGCGGCCGGTGGACGGGGGGCTTGGCCCATTAGGGCTCCAGAGCAGCTGCGCCGAGGGTGTGCGGAGTGGCCGCGTTTTCGGGAACCAGCCGGCCACCTTCCCTGGGGACGCTGCTGCTCCCACGCGAGGCCCGTGGGAATAAAAGGAGCCTGGCCGAGGGACTGCCAAATAGTATTCTTCATGTCCTCCGGACCCGAGTAGCAGTGAGAGGCTCAGTGGTTGCGTCTAAAACACATTTCTTTTCAGATGGGTTCCCCGGACTGTTTTTGCCCCACGGCTGGACTGGGGTCAGCCCGCCCCCCGCACGCCTGACTGCTGGCTCAGCCCCACCGCAGCTCCCTCCGCCTCCTGCCCCGAACGAAAGCCAGGCTCCCGCTGGACGTCCCCGGGGGAGCCGGGGAAGGGGGCATTGCCCAGCTCACGGTCCCTCCCGGGGGGTGAGGGAGCTTCTGGCTGGTAACCACCAGCCAAGGCCGTGCCAACACCACTGGCCATGGTCATCTCTCTTTGGTGACCATCTCAGCATAGACACGGAAGGCAGGCTCCTCAGGCCACAGGAAATTGTCGATATTTGATAAAACGATACCCTTTTCTACATGGCGGGTCAGATTTTTTTTTTTAAAAAACCTCATTTTTAACATTTGCTTCAGGATTCAGCCCCAGGGGTCCCATGTCTATGGCAAGAAGCTGGACTAAGAGAGCCGAGGAGCACAGCAGGTGGGGTCCTGGCTGGGCCGAGCGGGGATGAAGCCCAGACGGAGACGCCGCCGGGCTGGGGAAGCCCCCCTGCGAAACAGCGCCCTGTCCCCTTGGTGACCCTCGCCAGCTGGGCGTAGGAGCCCCTCCCCGGTGGAGGGAGCAGTGGGCGGGAAGGTCCACTCCTGGGGCTCGGAGGCGGGCTCTGTGCTGGGAGAGGCTGCCCAGCCCCAGGGACAGCACTGAGGCAGGCGGAGGGGGGCGGCCCCATGAGGCACCCCAAGGCGTCCGTGGGCTTGGCAGAGACAGCTTTTGCACACCCACCTGATGGGGCTATTGGGAGCCCGGCTGCAGGGCAGGAAACAAGGCCACAGAGACCGTGGGTGGTGGGGATGGCATCCTGACTTGTGCGCTCCCCGAGACACGGCCCCGGGGTGGGCAGCCTGGCACGTCCAATCAGCGGTTCCCGTTCCTTTGCGGGGTCCCTGTGGGTTAATCCTTCAGTCTGGTGTCCCTCTCGCTAGGTCACCACAGAGGCAGGTGAGGCCCCCAGGCCAGGAGGAGGTGGACCCACAGCCCCGGTTACCCTGGGGGTCACCCTTCTGTCGGGACCAGGCGGGGCTCTCTTCAGGCTGCGCTCAGAGAAGCAGCAGGTCCCACGAGAAGCCTGTTCGTTAGTGGGGCTCCTGCCCTCTGCACGTTGAGGGGGGAGTGGGTGTTAAAATGCCAGTTTCTTGTTAGATTTCCAGGCCCTCTGGAGGCTGGCGTGGGGCGGGGAGGAGTAGTTATTGGGGGCAGGGGGCCCTCCAGCTGCTCAGAGCTGTCCCCACAGAATGACCATGGCTAGAGGGCCGCCTCTGCCCCAAACCCTCTGTTAGGGTCGTTTCCAGATCTGGACGTCACCACAGGAAGTCCCGAGTGTGAACGTCACCAGCCACCACTTGTTTAAAGCAGGATTCGTGTGCTGACCCTGGTGCCTGACGTAGGACAGTGGGCCCACCCCCCCCTCCCTCCGNCGCGTGGTGCCCGGGACCACGGGTCAGGGTGGTCAGTGCGCCTGGAGGCTCAGCCGGAGCTCAGAGCCTCAGGGTAACGGAACAGCTCACTCCAGCGGGCACCAGGCTTTGCCCATTAGCCGGAGGTGCTCAGCTGGGGGGCCTGCAGTCTCCCCAAAATATACACCCCGGTCCTCGAAGGTCAAAGGTTGCAGGTTGCAGTCACAGCTGCAGACTCTAGGTTCCGGGCTCCTGTGGGCTGGCCTGGTGCTTCCCCATCTCGCCCTCGCTTCCCCATCCTGCCATTTCACAGATGAGGAAACTGAGGCACAGGAGGTTTTTCTGTCGATGAAGAGACGGGAGGGATACTGCTCTCTGGGCCTTGAGGACACCTGCCTGCGGACAACTAGACAGGGGTCAAGGCCCACACCCTGAACCGATCTCCAGGTCCCCCCTCCCCCACCGCTCCAGCTGCTGCTCCGTGACGGCTTGGACTGGGCCCCAACACTGGCCCCCGGGACTTTCCCTGCGAGGCCCAGGTCCCCCCACGTGAGGACCTGGGGTGCAGGGTAACTTGCCTCCCGGACCACGTCGTGCACACATGAGCTTGCGTCTCTGTTACGGTCGGTTACGGCGATTTGACTCTAAACGTCTGAGAAACCGTGCAGCGTCTCCAGTGGAACGCAGGGCCTCTTGCGAGCAGTGTTAATCATTCTGTCCGGCGATATTCACTTTTTTTGGGTAATGTCCTTTTGGGGAAATGTGTTATTTTTTTAGTTGTGTTTTGGTGGGAATTTTTGTTTTTGTAACAATAAAGCACATGTCCCAGTGACTGTCTCTTCTGAGTCCGTCAGACACAAGGACGACACTGGCTCCTAACGGGTGAGGGAGACCGCCCCACACCGGCCGGGTCCTCCCGTGGGTTTCTCCCATGGTTTCAGGATGCGATGAACTGGGGCGCCCACCCTTCCCCGTGCCTCGGAGCTGTGCGCTAGCAGCCCCGGGGGAGGTTCGTCCTGTCCCAGCAAAGCAGCTAACCTCCTGGGACTGACCTCGGCTCCATGCAGGCCTCCTGGAATGCAGGCCCACGACCGTCCCCCAAGCCCGTGAGGCCGGGGGTCTCGGCTTTAGAGAGGCCCCAAGTGGGGTCCGTGGAGATCACCCCCTCCGTGCTGCGTGAGCCGAGTGTGTTCACGTTGCTCAGGAAAACGAAAGACGGAAGGAAGCTCTGGGGTGCGGGGTTCAGGCACGAGGCCACGCAGGCTCCGTTTCCATTTCCCCACATCTCGGGTTTCTGCATTTTAGAACTGTGGATAGGACTGGGGACACGTCACAGCAAAGCTTGGCTCTCGCAGGCCAGCGTGGCTCAGTGGTTGAGCATCGACCTTTGAGCTGGGAGGTCCCGGTTCGATTCCCGGCCAGGGCACATGCGGGGTTGCGGGTTCGATCCCCAGCAGGGGGCGTGCAGGAGGCAGCTGATCAATGACTCTCATCATTGATGTTTCTCTCTCTCCCTCCC